GAAATACTGTAGCTATGACTAGCGGAACAGGCTAAAAGAGCAGGAGCTCTGCAATGCTGCGATGACCAGAGAAGCATTCATTTAGTAATACGGAAAGAAACTGCACAACAAACACAAAATCCACTATGGGTTTTGTAGTGACGTTTATTTTAACGATGATATGAATTTGTATATGTAAAGTCATATATACAGCTGCAAATCGGAAATCAGCTATGATAACTTCTAAGGACTGGTTTCTATAATTCTACTTATAACAGTTATATGTAACCCGTATTTTTATTATCTGTGTGCTGTTACAGTGTTTCCGATTGTGCTTTATCTGAAAATGACGTTTATCCAAAGGTTAATCGAAATATCGTTCTTCACAGAAAAGAATATAACGTTTACCTTAATAGAGCACATGAAAAACAAGAGTATACTGTATAAAAGTATACGCGAAGAGACAGAAGAAACTTAACGAGATGAAGGACGAAATTACTCATGAGATATGGAAGAAGAGCAAACATCTTTCCATATTCAACAAACGATAAACTTGAACGGGTCCTCTGTAAGCTACCGTACGGCAAACGACAGATCTGAACAGAATTCTAGTTAATCATAACTTAGGGGAGCTGATGGTGCATTGTACACAGGCTATGTTTTGGTCATACCATTATACTTAGGCCAAGCCTCTATTTCGATAGTTTTTTTGTTTTTGCCAAGTTAGGGAAGTAAATCAGTGACGCATATTACATTATGGACCTTACGCGTGTTTTTATGAAGGACCTCACAGTCTCTGATGGTACCTACTTTATTCAGCCCTAGAAACATGTTTGCAACGTGCTTCCTGAAGAAAATACGACTTTAGTTATTTCGCTCTAGCATGCGAATCCTTAGTCTGACCATCACCTGATATGTGCCAGCGGGATAATGATAACAGATTTGTGATAAGTAATTACATCAAGCCATGAGCTATTTTCTCGCCCGCATAATTCTTGCTTTTTCATTCTTGTGTCGTCGTCTCGATTCTCTCCTGGTCTTATTGACTCATAGATCAGGGTAGCTAAATTAACTGAACTGCGTAACAGAAATCAAACGTCGTCCGGATTTTTCGCTCAGTTAGCTAATGACCGTGATATCACAAAAAGATTGCAGGAAATTTTCATAATGCTTATTAATCAACGCGACCAACGTACTTCGTATTATGGTATACGGTCGCAAATCTGTTTCGAGAAAACAATGAGCAAATCACAAAACAGCAAAAAAAAAGAAACTCATCCCTTATTTAACGAATATAGAGAGTAAAGTAAATGCTGTAACCTGAACAACAGAGCGAAAAATCATTAGTCCATCAGTGTCTTACCACTTTTGAATCTAACTTGTGACAGATCGTAGCGTCCGTAATCTCGGAACAGAAGCAGGCCGCCTGGTTTAAGATATTCTACAAGGGCCGACAACGTCGCTTCCATCCTGAAAATTGTTTCTACATGTAAGAAAAATCAACTTGTTATTACCACTATAATTTAATTTAATAAAATTATATTATTCACCATTTTATTAGACAAACAACATTTCATGCCATTGTAATTACAACGTGAAGAACGGGTGAAACAAAATGGCACATCGTTTCCTATCAAATCTCGCAAAACAAAATGACATTCATTGCTATTTGCTGTACAGCACATTTTAATAATAAATACGAATAACTGAAAAAAATACAGCTTACCTAAGTTACGAAAACCTAACCTTAATTTCAGACCTATAGTTCCCAGAATTAATGTTTCTCTCGCAGAAGTATCGAAATTGACTGCGAAAATAATCGGACCTTCAAGTACAAGAAACTCATCTTACACCATGAAACTCCAAAGATTATTGCAAGCAACCGAAACAGAATGAACTGCCTGAAAGAAGCATCATGGTCAGTTAAGAAATGAAAGACTTATTTACCAATATTTCCGCTGACGCGAGCATAAAATTATTCGGCAAACTTCTGACGGAAAATTCACTTAAACAACGTACCAATTTTTAATGCTATTCTAATATGAAGTGGCACGACACAAGCGAATTATTTCTCCTTTGATCGAGAGATCAAATAAACGAAAGGGGTCCAAACGAAATTTTCATGAAATATTCTTAAAAATGTGGCCAGAGACATGAATCCAGATATGTTTCCATGAATCTTAAAAAAATATTTTATGGCCATCTGCGTTAATGATAACCAAAATAAAATAATAGACACTTTCATAAGCTTCTTCCTTCAA